GTATAGTAGTTGGTTGGAAGGGTTGTGCAGTGGGGTTTGGGGGTGTCTTATTCGTGTTATTAGTCTTAGTGCAATTTGTTCTGTTGTTTGTACGTATCGTTTGGTCCTTTCTGTTCCGTTGGCCATGAGTATATGTCCGTAGTCCAAGAGGGGTCTGCAGATCCCTTTGTAAATTTTTGTCGCGGTATTTGTACTAATTCCTTTGCCCTTGTATGTTAGTGATCGAAAGTGTTTTGTTCTTGTTATCATTTCTGTTCTGATGTTTCGTGTGTGTTTAGTGAATTTCAGTTTGTGGTCGATTGTAATCCCAAGGTACCTTACGTCGTTTTTCGGGTGTGTTATTTTTCCGTCTGCAGTTATTGTGGGGGAGCATCGATAGTAATTTTCAACAAAAATAACACAAAAATATCGTATATGCTCAAACCAGTCAGCAACACATGGATACAACAATAGAGTTATTGGTAACATATTCACGGTGATTCATCATAATAGAATCTCCATATACAAGAGTGAAAATGAGCCTAGTTTTGACAAAAAATGTGTTATAGATTTGTTAATGTTTCGTTGTGATGAAATATACTGTTCTATTTTCGGGAGTTTTCGTTTTTTCTTTACTTCAATTACATATATGTTTTGGTTCTAAATAAAAGTTTATGGGCTATACCATAATCATGCACATGTGAGAATTTACATGGTGATATTTTTTTCTCAAATTATAAACTATAAATTATTAGAATAAATTCAAAAGTCCACGAGTCTCTTCCTGTAGTGTGGCAAAACATTTCCATAATTAGATAATTTATTAAGAAAGTTATTAAATCTGTTATTCTGGTTTCCGACTTTTTTGTTGCTGTTTCCATTTTTCTCAATTTTCAATATGAGTTTGACTTTTATTTTTATTCATGGTCTTTTGCTCTTTTGTTATTTTGGGAGACTGTTGAGAAGTTTAAAACAAGTTCAACTTCTGTAAATTTAATAGAACATTAATATGTATTCTTAATAAAGAAAGACATGAGCGAGCAATTCTAAAACTAGTTTTGAAACTACGCACTCAATCTCTATTTATGTGATTTTGAAACACCCTGTACAAAAGCGATGTTGAACATCTTGGGAACCGAGCATAAAATCAGCATCCCACTCCGTTTCCTGTTTTTATCCACCATGTAATAACATTTCATTTTCTATTATGTCGGCGGCTTCATGATTCCATGAAAATCAATTTCTTATTCTAGTTAAACCAAAGAATAGTGGTTAATGAGTTTTTTGTTGCGGCAGTAATTATTGTTGTATTTAAAATAAAGTGTCATTTCAGTTAGCGGGTTTATGAGAACCTCTCGTTTTTGGCTCAGAAATCAACTGTAATGTGAAAAAAGCTGCACCCGATGTAACTGTTCGATTTAAGAGGCTAAACCATTTTAGGAAAAGAAT